TGGGCATTAAAGATTTATGACCGATTATCACTAGCTATTGCGATTACACATGCATGTAAATTACATAATGCTATATGAAGCAGTAATAGTAGAGAGTTTTTTTTTTTTTTATAGTTTGTTTTCTTAAGTTTAAATATTTTTTTTTTTTCTCGCGTTTGCTTATATTCCATATTATTATTGGTTAACTTTTGCATGTAACCAGCTTAGTTTATGTTTTTAATTTCATATACTCTTTAATACATAAAAGTCGAACATTAACGGGTATAAATCTGACCACCTAAGCTTTTGATATTCTTCGGATCCAAGTAGCTAAGATGTGGGAAAGGGAAAGCGAAAATGATTTGTAAGTCATCCCTTGCTGGCTTTCATTGGGCAAAAACTTATTAGTAAAAATCTTCTGGATAGACTTGTTCGCCGCTACCACAATATGTGTTACCTTGTGTTTAGTTGAATGAATTCACATGTCCGCGGGCTCAAGACGAAGTGAATGTAACATTTGCACTCAATCTCCGCATTATAATGACTCTAACGGTTACCTTCAAAAAGATATTTACTCCTTTTGAAAAACACACATAACATTTTCAACCTTTGTTCTAAAGATTTGTAGTTTACTTTGTTCTAAAGATTTGTAGTTCACTTTCATTTCCATTGTGTCCTAGTTTCTAGTTTTTTTCATTTTTTATGAAACTTTTTATTTTCCAATAACAACATTGAACCTTAAAAAGTATACGATTGTTAATCAAAACTACAAAGGAATGTTTTTTAATAACGTATTTTAAAATGTGTAACGTATTCGTTCAAAGGTTCAGTTAAATTAATTTCTTTATGTCAAATAATTCTAATTATATTTTTAATGTACATTGCTATCGAACAATGGTTAGCGCAGGCAGAGCATGCGAACGCTAAATTTTAAATATATTGCATCGGAATTGGTTGTTAAAAGCAGTCAAAAAGTCAAACGCGATGTATATTTCCGTCTAATTTTGAGTATGTATTTTAGTTCAGTGTAATGCCCCTCTTTAAGGGCGAACAAGCCGTCTCCTATTTGAAAAGAATTCGGGCAACCTTTCCGACCGCTTCGTTATGCCGATCAATATCTAGAGCACAATGTAAAACTAACTGAACTAGTGTTTCGTATACACGCAAACCGACATATGTATAAACATATTATAAGAGTTTGTTTGTTTATCTCATTATAAACGGATATGCAAAGTTTAACCTGCGAACGGTGCTGTATATACAGAAAAATGACAACAGAAATCCAGATGGCGGCAAATACTAGCAACGGAAAAGAAAAAACGAAAACGAAGTCACAGCTTTATCCATATGTTGAAATACAACGTCTTTCTGTTTTTAAGCTCGGGCATGAATTTATGTCTGTGCAGGCATGCATGCATGCATGTACGTGCGTACCGCAATTCATGAAAGACAAATGTAGTTATGCACTTTTTTCATTACAAAATGTATAAAAATGCATTAACTTCGACCGTAAAGTCAATTAAAAATTGCACATCATAGTGCGCGGTCCTATACGCAAAAGTGGAAAAATGACATATTGTGTAGAAGACACGCTTGGACAGGGATGATACGAAAGTAGCCGTGGGCCCATAGAAACACAAATATCGTTGAAAATTCCATTTTTTCTTCATTAACATTTAAAATATTCATAAGTTAAGCATGTCTTCCATGTGTTGCGTTGTGGCCAGCAATCAAAGACGTAACTTGTTAATCACAGGGATTTTTGGATTTAAACGCAAAATACTTGCATGCACTTGTCAGCGAAGATGGTTTTAATTTTATTTAAATTGTAACCTTATATTCTTGGCATTGCTTGTTAAAAGTAAAATCAGGTCAATGACTATGAAATCCGTAATAAATGTTGTTCGATAAGCTACTCACTTGCAAAGCTAAGAAACTTTATCACATCCTTAAGCGTAAAATAACACGTGACGATTGAAAACAACAATTTCCCTGATGAAGCGAGTATTGTGGGAGTTTGAAAAATCGCATTTGGGTATTTGATTACAAGGAGAAGATCAGTTTTAGTGAAAACTTTTACGTAAAGAGGATCCCCTAAGGGGCAAAAGTCGGTATCTTTTTTTTTTTTTGATATATCTGTCAAACGAAATCGCGATAAACAAGTGAGTTTGCAAGCGAGGCAACGGAAGGAATCCCAACAAGCCTATAAACTCTATAACTGGTCATTGCAAAAGTGGACTCGAGCGGTTCAAACGCACCACAAACAATAGGCAATATAAAGTAGTAAAGTTTTCAAACGTTTATCATTACATTACAGCACAATACACACATACACACACACACACGCACACAGCTAAATTCAAATCTGATTGCATAAATGGTTTAAAATACTAAAGTGATAAGAAACTTGAAGCGTTAACTTCTTAATGCTAAACTCCATGCATACAAAACATGTGTGTATGTGAATGAATACATGCGATGGTACACCTTAGTTAACGAAACGTTCCCTCAATCATGATAAAAAAAACCATTATGCATATAATTAAAACGTTATTTTATAAAATTGACACCATGTAGAGGACAACTAATGTATCAGCTCGTAATTGGCGCGATTAAGCGAACAAGAAGAACTTTTTTTAGTTAAAATCGACTTTCTTCCCTCAACAGTAATACAAACAGCCCATTTCGATGGACTTTTTTAAGTTGTCCTCAAAGTGCTCTTCAGTTCCCGCGAAGATCTCATCAGTAAATCGATCTTTTTAAGATGTGCAAACGGATAATAGTCCCTTGTGACCTGATCTAGGGAATAAGCTGGAGGGGATAGCTACTCATCTTCGTAGTTTAATTTACTTCGAATGTCGGATCTTCGTAGTTTAATTTACTTCGAATGTCGGATCTGTAAAGTGAATTCCAATCCGAATACTACGCGTTGCCAATGCTTGACGACCTATAAATGTTTTCATTTGATTCTTATATTTTTCAAAGTTTGTCTCTAACGTTTTCTTTTGACTGAGACGAACCAGCAACTGATTCATTTTTATCTACTAAAGCCTAAAGATATACAATAGCAAACGAAAAAAAGGAGAATTTCTACATACTAGAGGCGAAATATTTAACAATGAATGTGGGGCTAAAGGAGTACTAAACTCTTCCGAAAAGTCATCACACTAATAAGTTTTGAAAATAAGCCGCAGCAGTTCCCGGTTGCTCGATCAAATTCAACACATTTTTCACTCAAATATCTTGTGGAGCGCACACACGCACACCCATCTATTTTATACAACATTTTTCAAAGACTTTTCTACCCGAATACGGTTATCTAGCTAATGAAGGCAAGTTTCAGTGCACACTCGATCATAGCTCGACGAAACGTTGACGAGAAATCGGCGAAAGCTCGACTAAAGCCCGGCTTAACCTCGTGCCAAACTACGATCTTGTCTCGAACAGGTCTCGACCATATCTTGATGCGAACTCGACCACATCTCGGTCAAATCTTAAGCAAATCTCGACCAGAACTTTGATTCGACTTTCCCATATAAAATGAATTTTGTATATATATATATATATATATATATATATATTTAGTCCATTAGAAAATAAGGTTTACCCAAGCGGGAATCAGGTAATAGCCGCTTTTCTTACGTCTTTCGCAATATCTGGGATGGTCGACTGTTCCCTTAAACTGTAGATGAAATGAAAAGGCACTCTTTTAAGAAACATTTGTAGTTTAGTTTTCAGTTTATTTGAATTAAATAACATATTATCCTGTATTTTTAACATTTTCTTTCTCTTTCATTTGGTTTTGTTTCAGTTTATTTTTACTTATTTTATTTAAAAAAAGGGGGGCGAAAAGTTCGGTTCGGTTATTGAAAACGAATATTAAATATTAAAAATTTATTTCAACTAATCATAAGACACAGAGCTCTCTATGGAATTACAAGTGTATAAAGTTTTTGAATAGTTTATTTATTACTTTTGAATTGAAGAAGGGGTTTATCTCTTCATTTTTTTTTTTTTTTTTATATTTGTTTTTTGTATAAATACATTTTCCTAATATTTTGTTTACAGTTTTGCTTTGCAATGTATGTAAGTGTTTGATTGTATATGTGAACAAATTATTTATGCTCTGTATAGGTATAAGTGTGTTTATTTACATTTAAAAAGGTACTTAGGTAAGATATTTAGGAATTAACCATAACATGTGTATATATAAAGTCGTAATAAAGAAGCATAAAAACACAGATCTCAGTTCAAAACTATTCAGCTTGTAAGTTGCATGTCAACACAAAAAAAAAAAAAAACGATAAAAATGCTCGGAGGCAATTGCTTGTCTCTCATATGTCCCAAATTTATCATAGCTTTACACTAGCTAACAGTCGATAATACAATTTTTCCACCTGCTCTCTCGGCTTTAAAGGCATTTTAGATAAAAAAATAATCAATTTGATAGATAGATGGAAAGAGAGCGAGCTGGGCGAGCTTTAGCAACATGCAGACAAGAAGTAGATAAACAAATAAGTAGATATAAAATTAGTAGAAAGTCGAAAGTTATTACAAAATGAATGAAAAGTATATAAAATAAGAAAGTTCATCCTATCTTCGAACGCGCATCCTAAGTATTAGTATTTGAATGTACTCGTACGGTGTTAGAAGTGAAATTTGAATCATTCTTTGGTATTTCTTGTTATTATTATATCTTTTGTTTTCTTATAAGTTTTACGATGATAACAAATGATTTTAAAAAAACAATTAAAGAAAACAAAAATGACGTCTTTTAAATAAAAGTGTATCGAGATAAAGTCATATTTATATAATTCAACAAATAATTATATTTAATATAATAGTAGTCTTTTATCTTAAATTTCCTCTTAATATTCTCTTCATATACATATAAAAAGCTTTAACACTTGGTGTCTCGGCGTTGAATTTTTTTGCTTATTTCATTTAATTTTTTTTTTTTTGGAAAATTTCAATAATAAATTATGATATTTTTATTTGTTTGTTTTCTTTTTTTTCTTTTCTTTTTTTTTTGGAAATTCTTAGCTGCCAAAATATATAGGATCTCTGATTAAAATAGATATAAGAAATTAAGGTACTGATGATATACTGTATTTTAATAAGAATAACAAATGTTTCGATTTGCAATCCCTTTTGTGATTTTTTCAACCTTACTTAGATACGATGTTATAAATTTTTTTCTATTAAACATTTATGTGAGGATAAACTATCCCTCCCTCACTACATATACATATTAGAACCCACTTATTAAGAAAAACTAGTCTAAGCAACATTTACTAAACTAAAAGAAATATTTTTTCATATTTTCTATTATCAGTAACTTTCATTTCTCTTCTTAGTAATTCTGTGTAATTCAAATCAATTGCTAAACATAAACTTCATAATAAAAACAAATATATCCTACATACTATGTAATTCACTAAATTGCTTTAAATCACTAACATTCTTAAGCGCTATGATGATACATTGTCTTCGGAATTGTCTAGTCCTTCGGGAGGATTCTTTTTAACGCAATCCCGTATACCCTGTAGTATGATAGCTAATCTGCGATCCAAAGCTTCGAAATGAGGTTCCCACAGTACTGGACTCACAGGATCCGTCCGCATAGATTCACGTAATAATTCCGACAATAATTTCGGACCATTATGTAAACTGTTTCAGATAGGATATGAAGTAGAATTTCCGGAGTTTTAATCGAGTTTCACTTAGACAATACTTACTCTAGTAACTTCCTTACGGTTCTTTTTCTTAACATACAGCACTGCAGCATTGGCGCCAATATCGTTAATTCATCATGAAAAGGTTTTCCAAATCCTCTGCCATGATCCAAATGCAAAGTGAAAGTGTTATTGCCATAAATTCTGTTTAATAAAAGAGAAAACGAGAAATATTTTATCTAATTAGGTTCGTTTCCATTACCATATAAATCGTTCGTGAGAGTTCGCTAAAGGGATGTGATATGAGGGGTGTGATATGAGCATATGATTACAAGGCAACACCTGCCGTATATAATTCATATTTTGTCGAGCCACCCCGCCCATTAGTAAACATGTTTTGAAAGTAAACGTAAGATCGACATACACATATAAGGCAAGAAAGCAGATGACAAACTTCGCAACATTTCATACTAAAGTGTGTTTCGACCTTTGCACATGAAACTGGCGATTGGAGGGACTAACGTTTTGACCAAATACAAAGTATGTGCACGCACGGCATTAATTACAAAACTAAGAAACCAAAGCATATCCATTCACACAATCTTTCGTAACCATTGCCATTATCAAAAATGTTTGCCTCTAAAATATACTATGAATTTTCGTAATTTGTAAATAATGGGAAGAGGTTCAGAGTTTTTGCTTTTGAAAGGGAAGACAATACACGTTTGCTTACTTGAAAGTTTCATAATGATGCCGATCCATATTTCCGGTAAGAAAATCAAAAACAGACATATCCATTAAATCCAGGAGTCGACGACCTTCATCGTACGGCGGTATATCGCGAACCTGGAAATAGACGAATACTTGAAAGGAATATTTTACAACAAGTCGTAGTTCATTCGTTCATTAATTGTATTTAAAGTGTGGTTTATTTCTGCGAATTTCTAAACCAAAGCTTCTTCTTCATTTTACTAATTTCTTGAACTGTTTTCTAATCTCTTGCTTTACCCGCAATTACATAAGAGTCGCAAAAGAAAAAGCGAAAAATTACTCTTAAATGCAACTAAATGACTTACCAGAGAGCAGTAATTTGCGTCCGTTTCCCACTGCGCCTTTCTACGCTTATGATACGAACGTCGCCAGGGATGGCGCCAAGTCTAGATAAACAAAAATATTAAAGAGAATAAATTAGATAAGAAAATAATTAAGTTAGCGTTAATCAATTAAAAAAATTATTTTTTATTTTTATTCCGCTATGCAAGAAGGCTGATCCAAACACACTTTCAATGTACTTATCATCTGCCTCTAATGTATTTTCCTAGAAGTTTTCATTCCTTAATACTTTATTTTACTGCATAAGTGAAATCCGTGCAGAAACGGGGCGATTCCCATATTTCTGTTAGGAAAAATACGTTAACTGAGAGCTGGTCACAGAAACTTTGTTATTTCATTCTCGAATAGAATTTTTTAACAAAACAAAGCTCGTTTCTACGCCAAGACTTCACAACAAATATACAGACAGCAGCAGGAAATATCAATGTGCAGTCCTATGCAAACATTGAATAACTTTCCAACTCTCCAAAAAAATAACGGTATTGATGGAGTCTTGCCTTCAATTTGCAGAACTCTAAAATGAGCATCGGAAGGCTAAAAGTTGATCTACTAACTTCTACTAATGAGGAATGTTTTTCAGCCTTCACATTAAGTACCAGAATGCTTGCCTCATTATTGAATCATATTTGAAAATAGAAATAATTTCAAATGGTTTTGTCAATAATACGTTATAATCATACTGATGATGTTTACAAGTGCAAAGTTATATGAAAATGCAAGCAAAAAAAGCTTAAAAGACTTATATATTTTCAATAGTCGGACCACAAATCCATTTTAGGTTTGATTAAATTAAATTATGCATCTGTTGTGGATTTTCTTGTCAAAAAGTTTAACTAATTTGTAACTGATAAAGCAGATAAACATTCACGCATCGCCATGTTAAAGAGAATTTGAAACATTCCCCCCACGGCAATTAGAACGTTTGCACTAGTTTCACGTAGATACTAATCTGCACGTCAGTGTGAGTTTGGGTGTCACAAGTGACGACCTTAAGTGATTTACTTGCGTTTCAACGAAGAAGTTTTGATAAAGACACAAAAACTGTCTAAATAGAAATCGAGAAACATTTCAAGCCAATAATTTATTACGCAAGAGTTTTGCTACGCGAACCCTCTTTCGGCCGTTTGTTGTAAACATTTAATTTTTTCGTTATCTTTCCTTTCAGCTTAGTTCCCTTACCCGCTCATTCAACGCCCTTCACATAAGTGCAGTAGGGTGTTGGGGGGATAATCAAAAAGTTGCAGAGTTGAGAGGTGAAATTCTGGTAACTTTACCTTTCGATTGGCCATTTCGAAAGTTGGGAGGAAAGCAGCAAAAGATCCTTCCAACCGGTCAGGATTACCGCAAATAGCATGCGAAGTATCACAGTAGTATACACATTTGCCGTGGAAACACAAATTAGACGCTGGCGATATGAAGAACGTTTTCAGTAAGCTATCGTCCGCTACTTGATAAATTTCGGTGGTAATGTTTAGTAAACGACCTGCCACTGGCATAGCACGACGAAACCCTAATATTCTGCTTGGAATAGGAAAGAACTTTAATGATCTGCTTATTTCGGGGTATGTTGTCAGCGAACTTTTTTGAAGATATACCCACCTGTCTAAATGGAAAGCTGCTATCTCAGCATTATGTCTTTCATAATCAGTAAAATAGAAATGATTAGGTAAAGTCTGCTGGTCCCTGGGAAATCTAAAAATATAAGAAGTAAAAGCAAATTTAGGGTGAAATGTATTTTTGTAAAATTATTTCTACAAAATACATGCGTTTTTTGAGTTTTTTTTAAAAAAAAAAAGTCTTTCTCTAATACACGCAAGGAAAAATCGTCGACCATTAAAATTTTGATTTCTTGATTTGTAAAGAATTTTTTATGAAACTTTTCACCTTTTTCGCCTCGAATCATTTGCATTGCACGTTTCATTAGTAACCCAATTGATTACCCAAGCAAGCACGAAATTACTTTATAGCATACATCAGCATAATGGCGACATATGAAGATATTTAAATACCAAGAGTAAAGCAAAACGCATAGTTTCGCAATTACAGCAATATAATAATAATGCGTGGTCATTGAAAGGCACTTATGAAGTAAAAGCTGTTTATAAATTATTAGTGACATAGTGAACAATTACATCGGAATACGACACAATACCGGAAATATCGCACTGAATGGAATACAGCGAAGCGAGGAGCGAGGAGGTAGCGAAGACCTCTCTATAACCAGAATTGCGAGCATAAGCCCCACGAGTACCAACACTTTCGCTATTTAAGAAAAAAAGAAAAATTTAAATTTCCAAAAAAGAAAATTCATTCCGTTGTTTGTTGAAACATAACCACTTTGAAGAGTAGTCGGGCGCTCTTAATGAATGATTTTATGGGCATATATATCACATGGTTTTCACTATTGCCACGACCGCAAATCGTTAAACACTTGTCAATGCGTTGAACATCTCCATTAATAACGATTCCAACAAATTACCCACCAACTATTAGTTGGTGCTCACACACAACAGCAATGGTAGGAATCTTTTCATATCCTTGCAATAGTTTAAGTACACAACACGATTTATTTGCTGATTGTATGGTCGTGTTATTTATATTGCTATATATACAGTAGGCCAATTGAAAAGTTTGTAGAATTATCCTTTTTAAGTGAAAAAAAGTTCATTCATTTCAAATTGATTCATACAAAAGTTCAAATGATCAAAGGAAATTCACATTGAAAAAAAACCTGCGTATAAATGAACTGCGGGATAAAATCATTGTTTTCACTATATCCCCTTTTGTTTACCTCAAGTTCAGATAATTTCGGAATAACTTCATGCACACACTCAAGCCCTTACCAGGAATGCTTCATTGGACGACTTTTTCAAACAGCGTCATGAGCCGTCCTTGTCCCCCTTCGCAACTTGAATTGCTACGATAGAAATTTATCCTCCAATTTGGACACGTTTCGCCCACTCGTAAGTGAAAATATGTTATTCCGAGATTCCAATTTATTAGCAGGTGTTTGTCAATTGTTTAGCTGTTGTTTTGTTCTTAGAAATACGTATCCCAAAAATCAACTTTTCTGATTCAAAATTAATTCTAGAGTACATGATTACTGATGATTTGCCATGGACTAGATAAAGCAACATATCCGTGTGTGAGCAGCAACGACGTCGCATATCGTTACGCTACAGTGTTGGACTAGAAGGCCAGGGTTACATAAAACATTGCATGTACTGTACTCACGCACTTCACTAATAAAACACATTTTCGTTAAGTTTAAAATCCATTTACCAGAAAGCAAGCAAAAGTCGCGAATGTTGACAGATTCGGCCTAAGTCGAATATAAATTTTTCTCGTATGCAAAATACGTGACGGTTAGATAGTTAGTCCACTTAATTTAATTAAACTAATGTTTAACGGCATGTGTGTCTATGCACATTTATTTGCATGCACATAAGTGTATGCTGTAGTATGCACAAACGCACGTTGTTTTCATTACACGACTTTCTGTTATTTAATCTTTACAGTTTTTTACTCATCTGCACGTAAGCTCAGTCGGATGCATTTTTCCTAATTAGAGTAAATGAAAATTGCTGCTTTATGCATGAAAAACTCCAGTGAAAATAATGAATTAAAATTTAAATAAAATTTCCTTTCTTTTATGCTTCCCCACGTAACTTCCGTACCTATGCAGATACAACATATCAGACGATATATATCGATTAGATATATATATATGAGTTATGGAAGGACTACTTACCTCATTGGTTTCATTAAAGCTTTGATATCATTTGGATATTCAACCAGTAGTTTAAACTGCGTGCCGCCTTCCTTTTGAGCTGTCAAAGGGAGAGGAAATAAAATTACAGCACAAATTCAATAATAAATTAGTCTATGGCTGAAATGTAGACAAAGTACAATCAATTGACATTTTTAGTAGAAATAATCTGCAATAATTTGGAAAAAAGAATATTCTTACAAATTTAATATCAATTTTCATTAATTTCCTTGAAAGTTCTCATAACAGAATGATGTGATTAGTTCATTTCTCTTGAAGGAGATATCCAATTCATAACGAAATGTTCATTAAGTTAAAACTTTCTTCTACCAGAATGATGTTTAATGCTCATTACTTTCTAATCAGAACAATAATTAGTTCTTTAGTTGGACAAAGTTGTACGCTTATGCACATACGAATATGTGTTAGCTCTACTACTATGCAGATCTAAGTAATGTTCATGGTTTGTGGTTAAAGGCAAAGAAAACTTTTTCATATAAATATCACGTATGTTTGTAAGTATGCAACTACGGAGATAGGAAGTGAACTTTTTAATGGAAATTAACGTTTATATAAATTTTATTAAAATTTACTTTCTATATATAGCTTGAAGTCGAATTTTAAATACTTATCTCCAATAGAGAGAATTATTTTATGAGCTATTCTTTAGCTCCGTCCTCACTCTTGCTTATATCACTCAAATTTAAGAGTTCTTTCGAATGCATTTTCAAATACCGCATAAGCGAGCAAATGAAACGGAGCGTTGTTGTTACTAAGTGCAAACAAAAAAAATTGATCTAAGGGAACGTGAATGGAAAAAATCTGCCAAAGACTTTGACTATTGACGCCTTTCGCTTGCAATGCACAGGCAACGACAATATTCGTTTGGTTAATTACTCACTGAAATCAGCCAAGAGATCTTGGATACGTTCATATACATTTTACTTTCCATTCTCTGTTGTTACCATTGAAAGGGGCAGTGGTGTCCCGCGATTCGACATTAGCTGATGCATTGATAAATAAGTTAATAGAGACACACACTAACCAAAAAAGTCTTAATTTGTTTAAGAAATGACTAAACTTTAAACAAATGCGACCTAACTTTCACTGCTTTTGACATTACTGGCTGCTAAGACTTGCATGCATGCATTCATAAGCACTTCCAGCCAATTGTTCAAATAAGAAAAAGTTCTTATATATTTCATAAGTTTACCTCAAGAGGAAACTTTTACATAAATGTATAAATATGTGGGATAGAGTGGAGAACGGGTGATAGGTGTACAAAGGGGGGCAGGGCAGTAAGCATTTTCTTGTTATTTTATTGCTGATATAAGTTAGATAAAAAATTGCGTAGTCTACTTATATATATAAAGTTTACTTATATGTATAAAGTGCGTTTGTAAATGCGTGCGTATATGCATAAGTGTTGTTGATAAAGTAAAACATAAAAAATTCTGTTATAATAAGCAGAACGAATACTTAAGTGCAGGTGAAATAACTCATTAAAAAATAAAATAAATTGATGAAAAGTTTTGAAAATATTTTACTACCGAAAATAAAAGAAGAACAGACGTAAGCAAGCATTCAAGTTGCATACGGTTACGTTACATTTTTTATTTGTGTAATGTAGGTTGAATCGCTTACCTACGTGTAAGATGGATAAAGTAATCATGTCTTTTAAAACTGCTTCCACCAACGGCTCATTCTCGGCGTATAATTCTCTTTTAGAGATCTTCAATTGAAATTTTTCCAAATTGGTAGCGTTTTTTCTAAAACGATCGAAAGATAAATAATTAAAAATTGAATATAAACATATATCAAGGAGATAAACGAGCTTATTTGAAATTAGATTCCTGCGCCTTGCTTTCTTCCCATTTCACTCATCTTTCAATTCTTTCAAAAACGTTGTGAATTTCTTTTAAAGCGCTTAATAGATGCTATAAACTACGGGAAACGTGAGGAAGAAATTTTACTATTTGAAAAATATTTTCTCAAAAGGTCTTTCAAGCACTAGAGGAATGTATATCTTCTGCGAAATTTCCAACATAAGGTATAAATTTGAAGTTACTACTCTTTTACTTTGATAAATACCTCGCTCTCTCGCCAATTGCAGATGGCGGATGTCTTTTTAGCTTTCAGCTGTTGAGAAACAGAAAAACAGAAATATTCGTTAACTTTTAAAGTACTGGTGGTGCGGCTTCTGGAATCCCAAAGCAATCCCCAAAGCAATTTTTGTGAGAAAACATTTCAAGAATACTTTCCCAAAGTTTTAAGTCACTCGGTCAAGGGGAAGTGTCTTGGAAACTCTTACTATTTCTACCACTACTCCTCCCGCTTTGTCTAGTCCTATTACTTTGAACCTTAATCGATTTTTTCTCATAACTAACTCTATTGTTAGGCGACAATCGCGCGGATGCTCTATCTAAAAAGTCGGCGAGAGCCACGCTTCAATGACAAGACTTTCAATGGAAAACTTGTAAAATATTGTTCAAATATTGATTTTTTGTATGCTTGAAGCTTGAGATGAAATGATTCTTTCGTTATGTATATTTCAAAAAAAATTTAGGGAAGATAAGGTACTTTTTAGCCCTTCGAAATCTATCCAGCTACTTAAGGAACAGTAAATAGTCCGGCAAATTGGAATTTTCACTTGTGTTTACATGGAATACCACGCTGGAATACGTAGCTATGAATCTCGTAATAAGCTTGAAAATCGTTTATGGAGGAAAGCGCAAAATTGCGTCTGACTAACCATGAAAAGTACATATATGAAAGAATGTAAGGGAGGAACGATTAACTCGATAAATATTTTTCTTTTATCAGAAAATTGCTTTAGCGTTAAATCTTTCTACGATTTTCCTTCGTTTGTAAAAGAGAAAAGAAGAGAAAACATCAACAAATATTTATAAATAGAACTTTGGTTAACGACTTGTCATGCTACAGAAAATTAACTGTAATCAAGTGAATGTACCATGAAGAAGCAAAATATCATAATAAGGCTATTGAAATAGTCAAGTTCTCATACGGCCAGACTTTCGAAGCGCAAGAAAATAACAACTTTTTGAACTTTGCTACATTGTTTTAGGCGACTGGTAGGCGAACTCTAAGACAGTTTAAAATAGAAATATGCCGCTGAAGTTATTATTTTTTTCGTTATTGTTTATTCAGTAGAACCTCTAACCAGCACTTTATTCTAATATACTTATCTTTACAAACATCTAATTAGACACTTTCCGCATATATCCAAAGTAATGCCTTTCTCTTTTTTTTTTTTTTTTTGTTAAAAATGATGCGGAATAAGTGTCTTTTGTTGACTTTCATTATTTATATATCCGCCCTCTCAGCGTACGTGTATTACTAATTTTGCAATTTTCAACTATACATTCCATACACAGATATGAAAAGATCATTTATGTGTTTCCGTCCGCTCTTTCAATTGCCGGCTATGCCGTAGGGATTGAGCTAGCGGACTCTCAACTATATTGCATCGATAAAGTTGCAAAGTAAAGATAATTTCCTAACTAACATGACTACCGTAGTTGAAGAAAAATCAAAGCAGTTTCGAAAAATATATTCTAATGTTTCATTTTACCAACAATTTCAATAAATTTGTATTAGATATGAACATATAGGGAGAAATGTTGGCCATGGCCAATGTTACAAGGCATTCTCCCAATCGATGCCCACTTTTCACATATTTATTTATCAAGGTACACCTCAGCTAGTAACTTTTTAACTTGTTGTAGTTGTAAGAACAACCGCGTGCGTGTAGGATATACGAATGTATGTAATTGAGTTGCGTTACATATTCATGTCGTTAAATTTATCTACTTTGCACTTTGTAAGCAAAGTTGTGACAGACTTATTAAAATCTGCTGATTGCAGTCTTATAACTTCTTCTTATTATTATTACTGCACACCACACAACCAAAGTAAAATGGTTTTATGCACGCATAAGAGGGTTTTTCAGCAAAAAAGATGACGTTTACAAGCGTTACTGCGGTAAAATAAAATAAATTAATTCATATACGTATCCGCTAAGAGAGCTTTTGCACTTTTCGTGTTTTCAAAAATAATGAGTGAATGATGAGGGCTGGGATAATAGTATGAGGAATAATTTTTATTTGCAAAATTTTTTTGCAAGTAAAAGTTTGAGCGCAAACTTGGTACATAAGTGTTGGAGTTTTTATTAAATAAAGTCGTCTAGCAATCGCATGAAAACGGCATTCGTAACGATCGGTTAGAAAAATTTCACTATCACTATTAATAAATAAATATTCAGTTTACTTACTTTGGTTTTACATGCATCAGGTCACCTAAAGTAGGATTACTCCCACTGTTCTCTTCTTCGCTGCTGTCGACTATGACATGATCGTATTGCTGAGATGCATTGCCATCCGAAAGTATGTGTTCCAGATCATCGAAACGATCCCGAATTGTGGGTCTCTTAGTGCTCAATAACGATTGTTTGACATCTGAGTCCGCTTCTTGTAAACCCGAACTTACGACTCCGCCCCCACCGCTTTGACTGCCGACACTCCCAGGTCTGCCTTGCGTTGTGTAAGGGGTGGATGTTTCTTTGGAGCCGGAAGAATTACTGAGAAAAAACCAAATAATGAGTAAACTGCTTGCGATTTCTTGACTAAAAAAAAACCGTTTGATGTAAGTATATTGTAAACGTAATGTAATCGAAAACACGCGAACTAATGAAAACAAGTAACAGCCGGTAAGTTAGTAAACTAATTTAAATGTTTACAGTTCAGTTGTGACAAACATAATGCACATGACTGTACAAATAAATTTCTAACTTAAGCCTCATCACCGTTTTTGATTGCCATACCCTCAGATTTATTCGCTTCACCCGTAAGTGATTGTCGCTGGGAAATTAATTTGTATCTCAGCCAAAAGTCAAGTGCATTTTCTTTCTTTTGCACGTTTACGCCGCACGTTATCTGTTTTCTATGGTTCCTCTTACAAGTTTTTCTGCTTTTTTCAATTCAGTTTCACTTCCTCAACTACTAATCCCTTTAATAATTATGAAAGTCACACTATATACGACTCAGCTAATGTATGATGTACTTTCATTTGCAACCAATACGATATAAGGGCTACAAGTCACTGTTTGCCTTAGTTACGCTAATTGTACTCAGTCAATTATTAGTAAAATTGAAAGCGATTTCGTATATTTACTATAGAATGGAGACAATGAGGAAGGTATTGTTAAGTCTTTAGACACCCTGTTCTCACCAAAACACGATTGCAAGAATTACTAACAAAGCATGCCGCAATATTTCCGTTAAATATCTGGCATCAAGAACTTTGACTGAAGACGGACTTGTCCCAATGCATTTCAAGGCAAACAAAGACTTATCGTTGCTATCACAAAAATGTATTTATAGCTACGTCGATCCGGCCTTCATTTGCGATTGCTCGTCATGTGCCGCCTTTAGTGTTAGTTTACTATGCTATTGAATTGATTTTGCAAACTTTTCGACAGTTGGTCTTTCCCCATTCAAAGGCACACAGACAGAAAATTCTGAGTAATCCAGTCGTCCAATGCAAACGGAACGAAGCAGAATGATGAGCAGAAAACTCCGACTCCCACTGTTCGTGGGGGAATAACATTTCTGTTTATATATACTTTAGTAAATCGTACCTCTTTTGAAGGAACTTTCGTTTGAAATCTTTGAAAAAGCCGACAGCACCGCCATTTGGATCGTCTACGTAGCGTACCCGCTGATGCTGAGTGTGCTGCGTGTGCTGAGTTGGCATTAAATGGCGATTCGTAACACCGAAATCCATTTGTACATCGACCACAAGCAGTAACGTTAGCAAGATCAGCGTAGCGCCTAAACTGATTGCCAAACGTTCTTTCAATTTCATAGTTCTCAACATACCCATGATGTTGATAATCGGTGGTATTTTATCAATTCTTGGAATGCCCAAAGTAGTACCTGATTTCTGTGCTGAAGTAATTAAGGCCGTGGCTAACTTTGCATTTTTGTTACAAAATTGCTTTAAATTAATTCTTTTTAGCAAATGCCCGAACCAAAACTCGAATTTTCCAACTGAATCTTTGGTGTCTTCGACAGATTCCGATTCTTGCTTGCGTTTCTGGGTTTTTAACTTCTTTATGACACGTCTTCGGACAACGACCTTTTTCACTTTGGTATTTAGGGTTGGGATTAAATCTAGTTCGTTGCGTTGCGATTGCTCAGTGTTTAGGAACCTTAATTGTTTAACAATGTAATTGTTGTTGGCGTTGTTGCTGTTGATTTTTTGTCCGTCATTATCTTTAAGATTTCTTAATCCATTTCTTTTAGATTCTTGTTGAATGGTTTTTTGCTGTTTTTTGGTTCTTGGTTCCGCTGATACCGCGTCCAATGGATATGACCTTTCAGCTAATCGGTTTTGTTGTGCTTGTGATTTCAAATCAGTTTTTATATAATTTTTGCTGCTGCTGCTGAGCGCTGCTAATGAATGTAGCGATAAGCTTTCGTCGCCGTATGAGTTTTGCTGTTGTTGTCGTTGTTGCTTGAGACGGAATTTCTTTAAACGTTCGGCTAATTCATTAGTCGTCGTTGCTATTGTATTTCCATTGTAATCAGCAAAACTGTTTTGCCAATTATTTATTATTGCACTGAAATATAGAAGAAATAAATCCAATATTACTTTGTTCGAGGTCTATCCATGTTTACTTCTACATTTTTATCAATTGCTATGAATATACATAAACTTGTTATTAACTAGAAAAACGCATAATAAATTCCCTGAACGGAATGAAGCTTAAACCTCAAAATTGCAAAAGAAATCAAAAAAAACTAATTAATGTTAAAATCTATTTATTTATTGGAGAAGTCATGGGCTGTCATTTCATCCACAGCGTCTTATGAGTGACTGCCTCTGCATAACTTGGGAAGCAAAAACTTTACTGCGCCGTGTCCATATCATGCTGCTGCAACGCTTACCCACAATGATTTTCCTTTTATTTTGCTCTCTTTTTTGAAACCATAATATTTTTTATCGGTCGAGTCACTTAGCATCTAACATTTGATATCATTCCACACTTCAATATAATATTTTGCAAATAAACATTACGTAGGTGTACAATCGCGAAATATTCATTCGTAATGCTCCTTCTAAATTCAGATAAATAGCGGCCAACAAAGGTTGACCAATTCTAGGTTTAAATTTTTCATGCATCCTAGCGGAATACGCCGTTACGAAAATAAAATCTTCTTGCCTTCGATGCACTACTTCTTTAAGCCTTGTTTTGGCCATAAAATATCTGAACATTAACATCGCTCACGTTACATACAACCAAATAAATAATTGCGCGTCTAACCAAACAAATCTAATAAGCGTTCATAAAACTCGCATGCGATTTATTGCTCACATCTCTTGCCTTTGCATCAAATTTCGTAACTGAGGTTATAAATATTACTCATCTCTCCTTTTTTTTTCCATATTACAATCAACGTCAAAAACTACATATTTTCGATAATTTTCGATAATTAGTTATAGTCTCCGCTCACTAGGTTTAATCTTCATTTTTTTTTTCCACGTAATTGTAGTTCATTGTAATCAAAATCGGGCCCAAATAGCGAAAAGAAAAAAAAAAATCTCTAGGGTATCTTGCAAGGGTGGTCGTGTCAATGGGCGCATGACTTATACGCATAACTTTCACGCTGAATTTTTAATAGAGAGAGTATTTCGGTCCGAATTTAAATCAATTTCTGTGACTTGTTTGGAGTTACAGTACCTTGAAACCTGTGCCTATCATCTAAAAATACACATACATGCAATTTCAGATTTCTGCTTTTCTAATTAAAGGCGCGAAAAGGACGGGCGGACTTTGTAAGACCTCTGCAAATGAATAAGTTACAGAATTGTTTAATAAAATATAAAGAGAAGATTGGTTGGTAGGCTGAAAAGGTGGCGCAACAAGTGGATTATGAATTATAGCCCATTTTCAGTAAGCAGACTCAACTTTAATTTGAAATTTAAGCTTGAACAAGAGATCTGGGATATGGACTTTGGCAGCCTCTTTTGGTATCTTTTCACTCAAAAACAATATACCGACCGCACCGAGATATCAGAGCGATCAACAATAAATATAAATGTGAATAGCAAAGCAATACAGGTTTTAAGAATGCGACTAGTTTAGCTTGAAGATTTTCCTCATTTTATCAAATCTCATATGTGCATTAAAATCTTACGAAGATCATTGATGATATGAAGCTTTGTGGTTTGGTTTCATGTTAGTTGTGCTTCTTTATTTAAAAAAAAAAAACACTTGTGTAAGCTTCTGCTTTGAGAGCAGAGCGATCTTAAAGTATTTATTTTTAAATAGGGGTATGTGTGGGTGTAACTTAACACTTTCACTATGAACCGTATTACAAAAAAATGTTTGCATACATGTTGTGAATGAATTAATTCCGAAAAATACTTTGGGATCATTTTTCTCTCCCATGCAGTTCACTGTGTAATATCGTGACTGAAATTTAATAAGCGGCAACAACAAAGTGCTCTTGTGATAAACATTTACCTTTCATCTAACGAAGTATCGCATGCTTTGTTAACATTGCTGTCATTATCTTCCCAACGAACTGATGGGTTTTCATAGAGCCCATTACATGCTCGTTCTAGTGCCAATATTTGATGAAAGTTCTGCTCCTGTTGATGTGGTTCTAAATGTAAAATTTCATGAAAGTGCTTGGCATCATTGATTCTGCCACCTTTGTACTTGTCAATGGTAATTTTGGCAACGGCAGAATTTGAGTTGCTTACTTCTGTGGATACTAGCATCATAGCCATTGTAGAAGAGTTAGGATGGGCGGCGTAAGCAACTGAAGGCAAATGCTTGATATGTGAATTCAATTGAGCTTTCATCAGTTGTGCCGCACTTTTTTTACAAGTTTTTTTAGTTGTTGTTACTGAGGTGGATAGAGTTTCTAGAATTTCATGCGGTTGGGGTGTCGGTTGCTGCTTTGGTTTCACATTTATTATTGAATTCAATGGCTTTGTATTCGTATTGCTGTTGCCGCCCAAACAAGACTCTTGTGCTTGTTGCCCATAAAGTTCTTTATTTATGTTTACCTTATGAAACGGTTCGCTACACAAAGCAGTTTCATTGTTATCTCTTTCATTTCTATTTTTCTGGACGCCATCGTTTTTATCGCGCGCAAAAACCTCGTTGTCATTATGAACATTTTCGTTTCCAATATTATTCTCATTTACATTACGATGATAATTGTGGTCGTTCGTAGGTTGTGCGCCATCTTCATCATCGTTGCCGTACAACTGATGTTGTGGTTGCCGATTATAATTAGCTTCTCTTTGTTCATTATAAACATTGCCTTTCTTCGAGTCGTTGTTTCGTTGAGTAACAACATTCTTATTGTTAGTGTTGCTAACAATAGTCTGCGCTTCATTAATTTTTATTCGAACAATCTCTTTGCACCCGTTGCATGAGTTGCTTCCAGATTCTCTTAACCAATTTGCTTTGCCCGGCAATTGTGCAAAAGATTTTATTGCCTTTGAACAAATGTCGTCTTTGTACAATGGCTGCTCATACTTGTTATTGGGATATCTAACAACATCATCAGTGTTGAACATTTCGCAATCATCTGCATTAAGTTCAATTTCCAGCGTTTCATTCTGATTGCATTTTAAGCAAATATTTCTATCGGCCTGATTGCTATTGATATTCCTTTCTAATGCCAATTGATTCGCACCCAAAAAGCTTTTGGCCAATTGTAACTTCTTTGTTACATTTCCGTTTCTAGCATACATATGCCAATTTCTTGAAGAGTCCAACTTGTGCTGGTAGCGCAATTTCATTCTATTTTCGCTTTTTATTTGGAACTCGTTTGTACAACGTTTGGCACTTTGCCCACTATTTTGGCTCAGTGCCTGTGCTTGGGTTGTTTCTTTCATTCCTATTGCATCATCGGCAATATACGGAATATCCTGCCTCTTCATTTTCCTCAAGTAATGAGATTTCGATTTTTTTAAACTTCTAACCAAAATTCTTTTGCTATTTTCCTTTCCTTTACTTTGCCATCATTTTTACATGTTGTTTGTAATTGCATGCAATTTTTGGCTTTGTAGTAGCAATTGTGTCTCTTTTGTGGTATCTTTATTTGTAAAATTTGCGTCATTTCCGCAAGTTTCCAAACCATTGCGGTTAACCTAAATTTAATTCTTTTTTCCTAATTTTTACAGTTTTTCAGTTTAAAATTTAACTTTTTTAGCTGCATAATTATTCAGCCAAAATATTACTGGTTGCCAGTGCAATTATTGTTAGTCAGAAAAATCACTTCTGTAAAATTGCAATAAGTAATCAATTGTTGAACACAGCGCCATCGAGTTAGCCATGCATTCTCTTTCCATTTTAAATCACGTTAACAGCAAAAATGAAGCAAATCTTTTTGTTTGTTTTAAAAGTTGTGTAGTATTATCAAAATGACATTTCAAAGCTGCAACTTAAAGTACGCACAACAAACATTAAAACCAAAAATTAATTCTCCCCAAAAAAGAGGTTAGAAGAACAGATTGATTACACTTCCAAAGCAAGCAAAAATTTAGGCATACCCGCTACCGTTGTTTAAAAATTCGTAATCCTTCCTTCCTCGCCTGTTAGGTTAACATGATTCCAATTCGTGCTACACTTCAGATCAATATCTACCACAAGTTTTGATTGTATAACGAAACAAGTAAAATATATAGGAATAGCAATGGACAGATGGCCCTGCGGACAGACAAGCATATATGTATTTGTAGTTCTTTGAATTTGCGCCTGTAGAGTTTTTAAATAACTGTATCGAATCGATGCTTAAGCCACATTTGCTTTCCCGTTTTGCTCGAGTGGCATTTACGAGCTCAAAATCCTCTTTGCACGTCTGCAAATGTTCCATCATGTAGCGGTTTTTGAAATGAATTTGATAAGAGTAAAAGAAAAGAATTCGAAAATTTGAACTCTCGATTTTGCTAAGAAAACTAAACTGTAAAACGCATAGACGCGGGTTATCGATATCATTATCTTGATAGCCACAAGGCTTTTCAGAAAGACCGCAAATATATTCGCTATTGGCCCTGTTTACCATCAAATTCAAATAGCGTTTCCATAAATTGTTTTCTACATACAGAGAATAAGTGTAGAATAGCCTGCGAGTTAGTTGCTTCTATCAGTTAGATACAACAGATCAAAAAAGAAAACATGCTCAGCAAACATTTTTAATTTTTTCTTAGTCTTTGAAAGAATCTCAAGCCAAACTACTTACTTTAGTTGCACTTGCAGCATATCTCACAATAAGTAATTGTAAGGATACCTAAAGAAATCGGCGCATACATTTACACATACGATTTCTCTATGTAAAGTTGCGCCATATTAATAACAAAAACAACAACAACATTAACAAAAATACAGTACTTCATTCACACTGTGCAATCTATTATGCTTAGCTTGCGTGAGAAGGTGCTGAAATAGATTTTTGCTTGGTTGGGGCAAGTAGCGCTTAAGTGCGGGGAGGTACTACAAAAGAAAGATCAAGAAAAAGAAAAATTAGTTGAAGGAGATGTGTAATATTGCATGTATTATATGTAGCTTGCTAGAAATATTCCGTTAATCATTCAAAGATTTAAAGAAATGAATGCGTTCTTTAATTTCAATATCAGTCCAATCACGATTCAGCCAAACAACACATCTGGGCTAATAAACTTTCAGTTAATTTTTAATTGGCCCCGCAAATTCATAACGCATCCCTTATTTAAAATTCGTAGTGCACGTTGTAACAAGCACAAGAATAATTTCTAATCCCTGGCATACTTTCCAAGACTACCTACAACAACGTGTCACCTCGCAATCCTTTGATCGGAACTTGGAGAATTTAGCAAGGCAGCTTGTGAAGAGTTTCTTGATATCCACGATTATGATGCATTTGCGATCCTGCACCAAAAACCCGTCGAAGGGACTCGATAGAGCATTGCTGAAGATGCTTTGCCCTTACTTGACCCCATTAATTGAATTGTTTAATCGCAATATCTACATAAAGATATTTACCCAGAATTTATTCTTTCTTCTTCTTATTCTTCTTTATTCCTACTCTTAATCCATCTTAATCCAGAATATTATCGTCCTAGAGTGAAAGGTTTGCTCTGGAATAGTTTGATTACCGCCTAACAAATTTCTGTCTTTTCCTTTTTACGTCGGCAACTCATCGAAGCGAAAACATCCTCATCGCTGATATCCAGTTACTTTTCTGCGTGAATGCCTTCTATCTTCCAAAAGTGTCAGTAATCTAAACAGTATATATGTCTGGAAAAGATTTCGGAAAAGATTTTAAATCTAAGAATCTCGTCAATACTTGCGCAAGGATTGCATGTCTTTGATCAAAATTATGTGGTAGATGCAAAGCCTAAATTATATATGATTAGTACGCTAACAATGATGAATACTCACTCTATGGATTCCTATTTTTTCATTTTTCTGCTAGTCATAATAAAGTAACTTGAGTACACAAATACTTGCGCTCTTTATAAGTATAATTTTTGCGCATTAATAGTTTATAATTTTTTACATGCGATAGCACAGTTGAGGGGCAAGTGGAACTCCATGAAGCGTGTGAGTTGCTTAAACACTTGCTAGTTAGGGGCAAAATAACGAATTCATTTATTCAATCATTTTGTACATATTTACGGATGTTGTATATTAAAGAGAGATGTATAAGCGTAAACACGACCAAATACGAAATTGGATGATGAGACTGCACTTGACGTAGTTGAGGAAACGTCTTAATAAGCAAAACAAAATAAACATCTTAATTAGCAGAGCTCGATTAAGCGAGAAGTTGTACTAACGTTGCGGTCTTATAATAAACACACACAATAACACAAAGTACTTTCCCCTCGATTTTATTGCTCACCACCGGAGGGAAACGTTCTCCGTCTCCCCAAAGAACACATACAAAATATATTTTGCATGAATACGCGAGACATAATGAATTTAGAGAATCAATTTTCCAAAATTATATGACTCGTTGCAGCCAACCATTGGAGTTCGAATTGCTAACACTAACGGACTTAATCAGAAGTCGATCGTTTACTCCAATATCACAATATCTTGTAACATCTATGGATTAGCTGTTTATAACACAAAGAACTACTTATCTTTTATTCCTATTTTCATTTTTACACGTAACGGATCGACAAAAATTTTAACTTTATTTTAACTCTGAAGAGAACATAAACACTTTTATGTACAAAATCAATCTAAAATCTTTTCATCTTTGTTGTAAGATGGCCACGATTAACAGAATGCTTTCTTGTTTCACAAAACCGATGAAAACGGAAATGATCGAAAATTTGAAAAATTCGTAGCAGCCATAGATATCTTTTACATCGCTATCATATACTTGTGGGGGGTCTGAGAACTGCACTTCTTAAACGAACTCTAGACTTGGATGCCTGGCATCAGTCTACATAGGTATAAGTAGAATAAAGTTTACTGCGCGACCAAATCAACGCATACTGCGTCATATCATAAAAATTGAATTGGATTTAAAGGCTCGTTTGTTTAAGATGTAATTTAGAGAAAAAATGTTTTCATTCCTTCATTTACCTTTTTTATTCCGTTGTTTACATGAACAAATTTTTTAGGCTTCATTCGTTTTAAATTACAGTTTAAGTTTTTTGGTCACAGTTTAAGAGAGTTTCTGAAATCACAAAAATATCTATTTATTTACTATTTGCGATATGTTGGGAAAGTGAAATGAAAACTAAATATCATCCATTGTTATGCAGTTATTTTCAATGAAAACAGATAGTCATGGTGTGTCATGCAGTAAAAATCACTTTATTGATTATACGTACAATGTACAGAAACTGTAATCAATGTGTAACAACATCATAAACCTCGTAGGTAGAAAGTATCGTGGAAAACAATTCATATAACTGTAATCAAAACCCTAAGCAAGCAAGCAAACGGTAGCAATAGCAATTTAAAATTTTACAAATCATAATTACGTACCTTTTCTTTCTTTTTCTCCGCTGGCTACATAGAGCTCTATTAATAACTATAATATTATGTCTACGAGACTCTGAGTTCCGTGAAGAGAGAAAAGTAATAAAGAAAGAAGATATGATGAGTTCATCGAATAGTTGATAATCAGAGACCTTTGCCCGACGCTTCGGGAAAGGCGTTCTGCATTTTCTCTTCTCTCGTAAGGCCACAAATGCTTCTCAGTTTGATTAACGTACTGTACTGGTCTTGCAAAGCGTATCAAAATTATAAAAATTTTACAATAGATGCAACATCAACGCTTGATTGTAATCAACTTCCTCTCTCTTCATTCCTCCATTCATATTAGTTCGGTAATGGAATTAGAATTGCTATTTCTCCATTAAGTGCTATGATGTCGATGATGTTACTCTATCTTTAATCTAATCACGATAGCTGATAACTTAATTTATTTCTTTCTTTGTTTTCAGTTCGTTTAATTTCAATTTTTACATGACCCTTCGTGCCGCTAAACTATTGTTTTAGATACCACTGAGCTTTACTATTGCGTAACTAAATTTTTTTTATTGCTTTACCTCATTGCTCAGCAAATTCATTAGTTTGTAGGAAAACTTGCAAAATCAATGTTCGTTTATTGCGCATTATATCGACATCGACATCGACATCGACATATAAAAATCGTGTAATCAAGAGTAGCATCGAAAACTTTTAAAGACTTTCTCAACGTTGCCTAGAAGGAAACAAAAATAATCTGTAGAAATAAATGCCAATTCCGGAACTATAGATTCTTCTTGCAAATCATGGAACATGAAAATATGGAACTTGTACTCAATCCATATTTAACTTCTCCTAAAGTGTATTCTGTGCCAGGCTCTCGCCCCTTTCTATCCATTTTTCCTTGGGCGTTCTAATTCTGAAAGACTTCACATCTAAGGCTGAAAGATAAACTCGCAGAAATGAGTTTAGCTTGTCGATAGACAATTGAGATCGGAAGAATTTGATCAAAGCAAAGCATCTAACATATGCACACTCACATTGTGAATTATTTATCCGTACACAAAAACAACAAGAAAAAACTTGTAAATTTAGAGATATTCTGAAAAGAACAAAAGTTTAGTAAGACATTCATTCAACTCATTCTCATGCCCAACATGGCATGGGATTGATTAGTGAGCGAGAACTCTCCTTCCACCAAAAGTTTATAGGCCAATATTGTGTCTCACATTTACGGTACAAAAATGATATAAAAAACTCTCGCGTTCACAACATGCAATAAAGAAATTAAATACAAATTAACATAAAACGTTTGAAAACAAAATAACGAAACAATTGCAGAATTCATGTTTTAAGAGCCCAGGTCGTAAAACAAATAAGACGAATAAACTGTACGCGATTACTAACAATGTATTATTTGTAATAACACTTTAACGCCCGCTGTCGCCAGTAGTATGCTGAGTGCAACACGTTGTTTAAGCGTCACGAATATATCGATTAAAAGGAGAATCTATTAATAACACTCACAGGAGGGTGTTGTCAAACGCTGTTCAATTGAATTCACCTGAAACCGATTATTATTGTCTTCCTTTCCAATTTCATTTACTCAAGGCTAATAGCCTTAAGTCGAAGAGAAGCTGCGTCAAAGACCTCTACGGCTTATTAGGAAAATCCAAATATATAAAAATCCAGCATAAGATAAACTTTGCTCGTACAAAGTTGATCAGTAGCGAAAAGAAAAGAGTAACATCAAACTTTAGCCATTTTGGTGAACATCGCACTGACATTATACGTTACTACTGCTACCGAATCTTGGATTACTTGAAGTCTCGTTGGCAAATTTTTATATCCAAACATTAATCGAACTCAACGATTTACCCTTTGGGCAAATTCGTCTCCACTATTTTGACCTTAGATCGTTTTGGTTATGTAACATTTCATGTTCATTCTATTTTCAATTTTATTGACTCATTATCAATCTTAAGTTACGCAACTGTTCGTCTTGTGCCGATTGTAGAGTTTTGATATTTGTTTCTTTCTTCTTGTTTCCCATTCAATCGCTGTGAGAAATTCCCAGCACAGCTAATCGCAATTATTGCAATATGTTGTCTTCAGTTTCAGTTTTTCTTTAGTAAACTTTTTGTTTTTTTCCTTCACAATTACTGCACAAAATTGCAAAATAAACAAACAAACAAATACATGGTATAAACATTATTAACACCCCCACCTCGCTGCACTAACACTAACACCGCGAACGCAATAATAAGACTAATATATGCACGAATACTGAAACAACTACAACTAGTTCGAGTGGCTTGCACATAAATTACTTTCAAATGCGTTATCTTTTTAATATTTATTTTTAAATATTACCCGTAAGTAATCTTAAAAGCACTTAAAATACAATCCACGCTTGTCGCGGAGTTCGGGTTTATTTACTTAAGCAAAAAGATGTTCCTCTTTTCGTATCGATTGCTCTGATCGTTTTTATTATATTTTTGTTTAAGTAGTCAACTTACAAATATCACCTAACAAGCACACCCTACACTACTCTCCCAACAAAAGAGATTAATAAATACATTACTGTTGTTATTAATTTATTTATATCTCTATAATGACTGCATGCATACTCCATGCACATTAAATATATGCTTAAAGTAAAAAAGCAATGATTTCGTTCCGTCTACTATCCGCGTACACAGGAATACTTGATGTTTACGGTTAGCTTATTAGCTGTTGCTGTTGAGGCATCTCAACCTGTTTAATAACATATGCTATTTGATAATGATTCGATTCATTTGCGACAAGTCTATTGAAATTGAAAGTTGTAATTAGCGAGATTGATATATGCGCACAAACACACAATAGCAACGGATTTTTTATAATCTCTTTTAAGCTAATAATAAAAGTGGAAATGTTACGCAGTTGACAAGACCTAATTGATATAATACACGAGTTCTCTTCACATTCGTGCATTTATATTAAAATCCCCAGTAGGATATACGTAGCTCACGTTCCCGAGTGAATTAATGATTTCAAATTGTGTTCCATGGTCGCATAGGCTAAGTCACGTAAGCTTTTACTTGAGGATAAAGAGGACTAGTTGCAGTTAGCTTTCCCGATATCAACGTGTTACGTAGTCGCTGTTTAAGCAAAAGACAGCTGAACGGGAAAATGCAACAATTTCCTCTAAAAATTTTGAAAGAAGAGTATTTTCAAGAATGCATTTACATAGCAGTAGTAAACGGTAAACAACGTGAATAACGAAATTAAGCATTGACCCACAGGTCCTCGTATTGACCTAGCTACATTAGCCATGACAATGCAGCTTGATTTATAGTGCACAGATGAGTGTGCATTTAAAAACATTATTTGGTACGTAGTGGGCCCAATGCATTATAATGAGTCTCATAATTTCTTAGCTCGTTTCGACTGCGGGAAAACTAATGCAAGTCACTTGACAAAAAATAAAGAAATAAATAAAGTAAAATTGATACAACAGAGCTTTGGTTGCAAATGCCAAAAATCGCTACTTAAAATGTCGCACAAGGGAATAAATATGGATTGCTTGAGTATGACCTACTCAAACCCGTATTATGATTCCGTCGTAAATAATAAATCTTTTTTTTATTTATTTATTCGTTAAACCTGAACGCATAAAACAAGGAAAATGGAAACGAGGCTCAAGGTTTTTCAAACCATGTCGGCAATGAGAACACAATCGAATTATGAATAATTTCCGAGAAAACAATATGCGGGCATCTTACGCAGTCAAAACTTTTCCTTCTTTAAAGATTATTGCTGACTGAACACTAAAATGGACCTGACTCGTACCCAATTTTCAAAGCTTGTCTGTCTGTCCGATATTTCCCGTGGCGATACCAGACTACTATAGGATTAATTCGTGTCAAACTCCCACATTAATCAAATATGTGAAACGTCTTAGATTAATTAGCTTATCTTCTCATTTCGGTAATGACTATACAAATTTCATAAACTATTGCTTTATGTTTTCAAGAAATAAAAATTTCACAATTAAAGAGCAGAAAAATTGTACAAATTTTCGCTATGAAATCATTCATAATTCATAAGCTGCCTTTAATATTTTGCAAAAGCGAGCGGCTAACATAGCAAACATTCGCAGTCAATTGCCTCAACACATGTAACGCACACTATATGTCAATAATTCGATAATCCAATCATTATAATCGTTATGTTTTTGCCAGTGGTTTTTACATGTAAGTGCCATAAAAAAAGGCATGAGTAGAAGTATGAATTTTATCCGATTTTTGTATTCCTTGCTTCGTGATAGTGTTATAATAGGGGGTAAGTAAATTCTTTGTAATACACACTAGAAAACGAAAAGATTAATGCAAAAACTCGAACTATGTTTTCTAAATTGAAAGCGAATGCATATATTATGTGTTTTCCTCGTGTAGAAATGAAATTAAGAATGAATGATGAAAAGAAACAAAAAACACTCAGAAAAGGAACGTTTGAAAATATTGCCGCTATGTTGCCTTACAATAATCTATTGGAGAGATATATAAATGAAATTTGTTAAAAAGACGTGCAAGAAAGTAGTCACGATCGGATAACTGCCATGCCCACAATTATCGGTCATTCCTATGTGGTGTCCATCGCGTCCCTGTTCCTCTCTTCAATTAGAAGATGTGCACTCAGTCAAATGCAAAATCGTTT